GGGGGTTATGGAGGGGTCGTTGGCTGCGAGGGGTACACGCAATGGGGTGTCCACGGGTGAAGGCGGACCGTCTTTGTTTTCGTCCTTCAGGAGTGCATTCACGTGCGTCGAGCGAACGTGGAAGGGCCTTTTCGCGGCTTCGGGAGCTTCATAGTGACACGCCAGGACAGGCATGGCGGTCGCACGTGTCGCCGTCGTTGTTCCATTTTCCCGCCACGCGGACGCGACGTCGTGGACGGTCCATCTACTACTTTCATCCCAGTGGTGTGCATCTGGAGCCGCATAAATATCGTCCGCACGAGGGTGAGTCCACCACCGAAGCCCGCCGCGCCAACTGCACAATTCCCGCCACGCATCTGCAGTAGCACAACGCTTCTCGCCGGGGATAATTGTGGCCTCCTCCACGCTTCCATGTCCACAGCCTTCGAGGACCACCGTCGTCACCATTGCAAACATCTCGTGACGTGGACGTCGGCCGTCACAATGCAGGCAGCGGGCCGCTCTCACCGTCATCAGTTCTGCTCTTCTCGCAGTCAATCTTCTGGCCGCGGCGCGCTTCAAGGTTCATAGTTGTTCTTTTGTCACACTCGTCGTCGCCGGACGTCATTCTTCTCGCCGCGGAGCGCTCACGCCATCGCTGTTGTGATCTGCTCGCCGTCGTGGTTCCCGCCAAGGAGAGGTGTCGCCGGGGTAGTTATCCTTCCGTGGTGCGCTTGCGCGTCGTCGTCTTCCTGCAGCGGAGGACACATCTTGAGCGTCGTCGGGGTAGTAGTTCATGCCAAGCTGGCAAGAGACGGGTGATTTCTTTATCGACGAAACAATACATGTCAGTCGACCGCTCCGCCGAGATCGCCTGTAGAGGTCCCCAGCATGCATGTCTGCGCTATTGAACGCCCGTGGCAAGAAGCGCGACGTCGCGGTTGACGAAAGCCAAGCCTAGGGAAAAGTTCGGCGGCACGTCCCAAAGGCGAAGAGGCTTCGTTTGGATGATGCGTCAGCAAGCGTGCCGCGTCGTGGGGTGCAAGGTTGGGCGCAGGCCGCGGAAGATGACAATGACGACGATTTCACAACGGAGGACGAGCAAGGCGAGGCGACGGCGTCTGCAGTACGAGAGAGTGGTAGGCAGCGTTCTTCAAATCAGAGCGCTTCGAAGAGGATGTTTACCCCTCCGCCGGAGGCGCAGCAGCTGCGTATCCACGAAACGTGGAAAGAGAAGGGTGTTGTGGTGGACCTTGGCGGCCATGACGACGAGCCTTTGGAAAAACGTCGCCTGGGCACTGCAACACAAGCGACCGCAACGATGGTGTCAACGGCTCGCGCTGCGGCGGACGAAAGGCCGATCACAGGTACACTGCCCAGCACGCCGTCTCAACCACATCAGCGCAACGATGGTGCTAACGGTGCGTCTGTCCAACGCGGTGGGGGGGGGGGAGTCATGGCAGACGCGCGAGCAGCAGGGGGCAAGGCGGCAGGTGGCGCGGGTGTGGGTGTTGCAGGTGTTGTGGTTCCCGTTCTGGCGGCGAAAGAGGAGGCTGCAGTTCCGGCGATGGCGAGAGAGGAGGGTCCTGGACAAAACAAAAACGAACGGGATGGCGGCGAGGCCGCTTCAAGCCGGGCACGCAGGGGAGTCATGACGAAAGAGCTCATCGACCGTGCCCTGCTTTTGGTGGATGACAAAGCTTTCTGGTTGACGGGTGAAGGCCGCAGACTTTACAACTTGAAGATCGTCCACTAAACCAAAGAGTACTTCGTCGCCATCGTCAGCGACCTTCCGCCACCTGACCTTCCATGGAGCGTTGTCCTCCCCAAATTCAGCACGAGGGTGGCGAGGATCGCCGACCAATCACAGCTCCAGCAAGCGATCTCCCGTGCGGCGGCGGTGGAGAATATAGCTCTGCGCATCTTGCACCCTGGGTTTTCAAGTCCAGGAACCGCCCAAGGGGGTACCACCTTGCTTTCCAGTACTCGTTGGAGTCCGTAGCGACGAACATTGCGCGTGCAATGTGGTACGGCGAGGAGTGGTGCAACGTCGTCAGCGCGGCGATCTGCGTCCACACGATAAATCTGAACATGGACCTTCCACTGTGGTACGCCGGCGCGAATATCGAGGATAGACCTAAGGACGACGACATGGCGGCGCACCAGGAAGTCCACCGTCATCCGCATCGTGCATTCATTCCGCGTGGCGGTGCAAATGGGCGCTCACATCGAAGCGATTTCATCTCCTACGAGCGTCTATGTCGGGTGGCTGACTGCTTCAGTCTGTTGCTGGCGGCGTCCATGTGGATAATGCGCATGGTGAGAGACGATCCGCGCAGCCACTACGAAGCATTTTACTTCGCGGATCTCGTCGCCAGGCCGACACTAGTCGCCTCCATGCATCGCTCCTTCGATCATCAACGATCCATCGTCCTCGCCACGAATGTCATCACGGAGAGGCTTGGGAAGGCGAAAGCCATGCTCGGAGTGTACCCCGGCTACATCCCTGATTGGGCATCATGCGGCATCGGATTTGCGCACGACGCGAGCATCAAGGGGCCAGAGGATGCAAAGAGGCTGGATTGGTTGGGTTCGGGCCCCCCTGATGATGACAACAAAGGCGAAGGAAAAGACGACGCATAAGGCGGGCGGGTTTGTGGGGGTAGAGCGGGGAGACTGCACTTCTTAGAACGAAGGCGCATGTACGCGTGGCGAGACGTGACGGGCTGTCGTGTGATTGGACTGTCGTGCGTGGCGCACCTGTTTAGCATGTCGGCCGTCGGGATTCGCCAGAATCCTCCTTTATCATTGTGCACAGGTTTACTGTGGCGCCCGTGGCATAAAAACGGGTTGATCGATTTCGATTGTGTAACTGTAGTTTCGGTGGTTAGCTTGTTGGCCAGAGGGATTCGCCTGAATCTTCGACGGTTGCATAGCTGTGTAGTGTGTCGCCCGTCGCGTCAGCACAGGATGAATGATTTGCACCTTTTTTTTTACTTTTTTTTTTTTTTTTGCGTTTAGCGCACCTGGTTGTTTTATCAGTGTATGCTACTCCTCGTTGTTTCAGACGATTTAAACCGCATGGCGGTTAATTGGTGTATTCGTTTTCACGATGCGTGTCATGATTTTGTCATATGTTGGTGTGAGGAATGTCATCATATCTTTTGTGGGACACAACTGTCGTGCGTGTCATGCAGTGTCCTTGTTTGCGTTTCATTTGTTCTTGTTCTTCACATTGGCTTCACGGCATGCAAGAGACATGCGTTGATCATGGATTCACGGATTGCATGTCAGGATTCTACAGAAGCAGGTTGCACATGTCATCCCACCACACCAGCACACAAAACCGGTCATGAAAACTGAAATGAAGATACGCACGAAAAAACAATAAACATAAACAATAATTTCTACAGATGGACAGCGAAAAAAGACAAAAACAACCGAGCTTCCCACCGCACGAGACCGTTGATTAGAAACGATTTGAAGACAGAAAAAATATATAAAAAAACACAAGTCGTAATTACGAGGACACACACTGACAAAAAAAAAGGTTCTTCCAATCTTAAAAGTTCGCACAACTATGCGAACCAGGTAGCCGTCAACACCATGAAAACGATAATGTGAACTCGTAGGCGACAACCATGCCGCCATTCCATCGACCCACCAAGTACGAGCACGACGACCATGGACAGGGACCACGTCATAACTCCAGCCGCCTACCGATCGAACCACCCCATGTGCACCACCCCATGTGCTACACCCCCCCCCCCCCCCCGCCCTCCCAACCGCACGGTCCTACATCAAAGCTAGGCGGTCTCGCGGTGCATCCCTCAACAATTCCCCTTCCACGTTTGTGCACCGTCCCCGCCCGCGTGCGTCATTCCCCACAATGCCCAAGTTCACTCTACGCCGAACGTCGTTCGCATCCACCTCCCACAACAGCCATTTCGTCAAAACGGACATATTATATTTTTTGAACGAAATCAAAACTGATTTTTTTTGCCAAAATCCGGTCGGAATTTTTTGCTCCTGGGGGTCCAGCATTCCCAAAACGCCGGACTCCCTACATGCATCTGGTCTATGGTTGAGACCAGATACAAAAAAATAAAAAAATAAAAAAAAAATTGTATCTGGTCTCAACCATAGACTAGATACATGTAGGGGGTCCGGCGTTTTGGGAACGCTGGACCCCCAGGAGCAAAAAATTCCGACCGGATTTTGGCAAAAAAAGTCAGTTTTGATTTCGTTCAAAAAATATAATATGTCTGTTTTAACGAAATGGCTGTTCCACGGAAGCTTCTCATCGAAGTCGATCCCCGCGTCTAGGAGGATATTGTGGAGAGTGCAGACAACCACGAATTGTTGCAGCAAGGTCTCCAGGTTCGTCTTATGGGTGCGCAAGAACAGACGCCACATGCACTTGAGTCGGCCGAATGCCCTCTCCACACACCCCCGTGCCACCTTTTGTCGCATGTCGAAGCGCTCCTCGTCAGCACCTCGGTTGATTCCTCCATACGGCTGCACGATCCAAGGATAGGCAACTGGATAACCGTTGTCGCCCAGCACGTAGCCTCGCGTGATGACATCGTGCGGCAGATTCTCCGGAGTTGCGTCGAACAGCTCGCCACTTTCTGCACGCCTCCACAACTGGGAATTGTGCAGGACACGGACGTCGTGCACACTTCCCGGGTATCCTACGTGGACGTCGAGGATCCGCAGATCCAAATCCACAGCCACCTGCGCCTGCACGGAGAACTTCTGTTTGCGGTCGTAGTAGTTGTCGGAAGGTGCGTCGGCAGGCTTGTCAATGTAGATGTGTGTACAGTCGATAGCGTCGAAGCAGTTTGGGAAACCCCTGTCACGGAAAGCGCAGAATCTGCACACGTCTCCTTTCCACTGGCCACTTTATCGCATCGGGGTACGCCTGCAGCAGCGTCGAAGTGACGTCGCGGACGGCCTGCAGTCCAGTTGCCCTGCCGATGCCGAAGGATGACGTGCCGCTCTCGTACGTCTCTCCGGACGCCCACCTGTATAACGCGAAAGCAATCACCTGCTCCACTGGCAATGACATTCGATAGTGCGTCACCTTCTTCTCCATGTACGCGTCGTACGCGGCTACGATCTGGGTGAACATGGTCGTCGACATGCGCAACTTCTGCTGGTAGTACTCGTCCATCGCGTCGTCACGAAGCCGGAGGTCCTCCCAATGCATGTTCCGCCAGTCCGTCGTCTAATCCACCACCGCGGAGTCTGCCGCGGGAAAACGCCAGACGACACCGCGACACACAACTGGACGACTGCCTCACACGTTGCCACGCAATCCGGCGCCTCGGCAACGCTCTGCAACAGCGCTCTTCGTTGGTGGAGCCGCATCAGCATGTCGCGCGAGGACTCCATGCCGCCCATCGTGTTCACGACGACGGCAGTCACCGCCATCGCCACGGTGTCGATCTCTTCTTCGCGAAGACCGTTTGGGCAGCCGTGACTGTCCATCTCTGGCAATCTTCGCACGGTTTGCTGCGTCAAGCCTGCGACAGCCGCCTCAGACACGCCCGCTATGGAACCCTGCCGTCGTAGACAAAGCACGCCGGAGCCGAAGATGCGAACGCTATTGTACGCTGGCACAGGAGACAAAGACGCGCCCGCTGCTCCACGCTTCTAAAGGACGGTACGCACGCCGGAGGTGAACGTGCGCCTCATACGATGATGCGCCCGCTGCTCACAAGTTGTGTACACTCGGGAGATGGATTCCGCGCGCCGAACGGTGGGGAGGTGTCGTCTTTTTCACGTCACACGCGTCGCCTGGCCGCCCGCCGCCCAGCCACCCTGCGTCCGCGAGAATTTGAATTCGAAATTTTGAAGTTCTGGGCAACTGCGCTTTTCACCGATCCATCGACGCCCGCCCAAGGGCCACCGCAGTCTGTACCACGGACACCGGCTAGGAATGGACGGACATCAGCGACGCGGCTGCGTATACGCGTATGAAAACGGGCCGTGGGAAACCTTTTAGGACGAGTCCTAAAAGATGATTTTTAGGACTGCGTGTAACGACGCCGCACGAAATCCTGAAAAACCTTTAGGACTCGTCCTAAAAATTTTAGGATTCGTTTAGGAGTGTCTAACGAGACCCTTAGTGGTGCTGATAAGTGCAGACACCACTAGCACCTAGGGAGAGGCTCCATCTATTGGTGGGGAGCATCACCTACTGGAAAACGGGTCCAGCCTCCCATATACGGACTGAATTAGAGTACATCCGAAAAACAGTGTGGAAGGTTCCTGCCAGCATTGATTACCCTTGGATCCAGGGGATTGACTGAGCTGGACAAAAGAAAAAAAGCGGGGGGGGTACCTCTTCGCCCTGAACCTGGCGCCAAATACCTGCTGCTACACACTAGTTCAAGGTGGAGGTTTTTCGTATCAGGGTCCTGGTGATCGGGGGGCAATAGACGGCCTTTCGGCCGTTGACGCCAATAGCAGACCTGCCCATTGACCCTGTGGAATAGCAATGCAACCTGGGGGGAACAGGGGGAAGGAAAGCAAGGACTGCACAACAGCCCATGAGTCTTGCGGACATGAAGAAGGCCAAAACGGCCTACCGTATGCTGAGACCCAAAAGAGAGTTGTGGGACACGATCTGCGACAGATGGCAGCGTCACCTTAATGTGGATCAAAGCACCCTGCGTCCCATCCAGTGGTTTTGTGAATCCAAATTGCGGCCCGCCAAGATCTCGTCACTACAAAGGCAGGTGGCCCACCGATGCCTTCCGACAAATGACGGACTGATTAATCACAGCAGGCTGGAGCAACAGGGAGGGGCGCTGCCCTGGTGCATGAAATGTTTGCGGAGCTACTATCCTTCGGAATTGAGATGATAGAGCACCTTTTTTCTGCAGTGCCCTTCGTCAGTATTATTGTGGCGATGGTGGGACATGATATGGCGGCAGACGGTCCTCGCCACGGGCTGGGCATGGGACAGGAGGGCGCTACTAATAGGTCACTGGCCACAGTGCCCGGACGACCCAATGACAAGAAACCTCTTCCGAGTGGACAGACGAGCCGTCCTTTGAGTGATATGGTGGATAAGATGCACCTTGGAAATCGAGGGGGCATGTGTGGAGGAGGGGGAGGTAACTTAGGTGGTCAGGCAACTTGTACAAGCAGAGATCACTAACCACTGGCAGGCGGCCAGACAACGATGAGCTTTGTGCATACCAGGAAAGACATTGCTAAAATAATCACACGTTTTTGCGACAAATGGTTGGGAGGAAGAAGGAGGGGATGGATGGCGTATCTCGGTCAGGGGATAACCCCCATGGAGAGGGAGGGGAGGAAGGGGGAGAGGTGCCCAGAAACTACAAACTGTCCTTTCGGGACTGAACCGCAATAGACCTTGGCATCCCCCTAAGACCGGTGACGGATTTCTCGGACCCTTTCCCCCCCAACCTGTTATCACTTGTGGAAGTGCCCCCTAGTGGTTAAAAAAAGTTGTCTCCAAAATGTCTCCAAACTATCTCAAAGGAACGCTGAGCCCATTTCTCAGCATGTGAAGTTTGTGTTTCCTTTCCCCAATAAACCGCCTTTCAGAGGTTTTTTGTCCTTTAAAGCACAAGTACACAGCCCCAGCCTTGCAGCAAACAATCTCAGCAAAACATCCTGTTGCCACAAGATTGTTTTTGTG